GTAGGGTTGAGGGTTTAGGGTTTGCTGCTGCAAAAAGGGTTTAGGGTTTGGGGGCTTGAGCGTGGAAGCAATCACAAAGAACGGCAGCTGCCTCAATGCCATGGCGACATCGTCGAGGCAGATGCAAATGCAGCTGTGCCTGCAAGGTTCAAGGGACTACAGGAGGGACACTTGCAAGGGACCTTAGGGTAAGCCCCTTAAAAGGTGTTTCCCAGGGAGCCCATTGCTTTGGAGTAAGGGGGTTGAGGGATTCAGGGTTTAGGGTCCAGGGGTTAGGGTTTAGGGTTTAGGGTTTAGGGTTTAGGGTTTAGGGTTTAGGTTTAGGGTTTAGGGTTTAGGGTTTAGGGTTTAGGGTTTAGGGTTTAGGGTTTAGGGTTTAGGGTTTAGGGTTTAGGGTTTAGGGTTTAGGGCGGAATACACCTGAATTAACACCGGGAATACGCTTGAATTAACACCAAAAAAACCCAAGGGTGGTTTAAGTAAGGACTATGACTCAAGGGGTTTTCCGAATCCTAAAGAGTTTCGTGAAGGCAACTTCCCTGTACCTTCAAGCTTATGCCTTGAACCCTAAACCCTAAACCCTGAACCCTTTAAGCCCTAGACTGATTCCCCAGATCCTCCAAGTAAGGCTTTGAAAGCTTGACAGTCTAAGATTTGGGTGCCAGAGTTTTGTTAAAGTTTGAAGTTGTATTTCTAGAGCTGTGTGGTGGCCCAGATTGAGGCCCACTCACAGGGTTTCCTAGACCCTAAACCTTAAACCCTAAACCCGAGCCCTAAACCCTAAACCCCAAACCCCAAGCCCTAAACTTGGACTCAGAGGGCACTTTAGGGTTTAGGGTTTAGGGGGTTTTAGGGTTTAGTGCTTGAGGTGCTCCTCTTACAAGGGAACGATTTTCAAGTGCGCCCCTAAACCCCTGAACCCCGAAACCCCCTAAACCCCCTAAACCCCCTAAACCCCCTAAACCCCCTAAACCCCCTAAACGCCCGAAACCCCCTAAGCCCCCTAAACCCCCTAAACCCCCAAAACACCAAACCCTAAAACCTAAACCCCTAGGCCAAGACACCCTAACCTTAGGCCAAAAATCCCTAAACCCTAGGCCAGAAACCCTAAACCCTGGACCCTAGGCCAAAAAGCCCTAAACCCTAGACAAAAATCCCGAACCCCAAAACCCTAAACCCCAAACCCTAAACCCCACACCCCAAACCCTAAACCCAAACCCTAAACCCAAAACCCTCAACCCGAGCGCCTTCCGAGGCTGGTCACACGGTTCGAGCGGCTTTCTCGGCGCATCGCGCTGGCTGGCCTGCTTTCGAACCACAAGGCTGCCGGGGCTCTCCCTGAAAGGAAGGTTTAGGGTTTAGGGTTTCGGGTTTAGGGTTTGGGGTTTAGGGTTTAGGCTTTAGGGTTTAGGATGTAGGGCTTGGGGTTTAGGGTTTAGGTTTTAGGGTTTATGGTGTTTACGATTTTAGGTTGCCAGGCTGAACATGAACGGTTCCGTACCGGGTGAAGTCGCAGAAGGCCCGTAGCAAAAGGGTGCCAGGGTTTAGCATCAAATCCCAAACCCTGAACCTCAAAACCCTCTACCCTAAACCCTAAACCTAAACCCTAAACCCCCGTAAACCTCAAAATAGGGTTTGCGGCTTTCTGCACGTTTTGGCATCAAGGCCAGACGCAGGGCCCGATGGCGAGGGTTATGGCAATGCAGTGCCGCTGGAGTTCCACTCCGTTGTATTCGGTTCCTTAAGGAAGTACATTTCGTTTCTCTATGCAAGTTGTTGAAGAAAGCAATTTTAGTTCAATTTGATTCCAAGGAGAGTCGTCTTAACTCTAAATCACTGCATTTCCTGAGCACCCTAAACCCTAAACCTAAACCCTAAACCCTAATCCCTTGAAACCCCACAAAAGATCTCCAATGCCGAAGCCCACGAGCCGAAGGCGTGTTTCGGGCTTTTCTTTTCAGAGGGTTTGAGGGTTTGAGGGTTTTAGGGTTTAGGGGTTTAGGGTTTTAGGGTTTTAGGGTTTGTAGGGTTTAGGGTGTTACCGGGTGTTTTTCGGGCGTTTGCCTTTTTTCTTTGAGTCCGAAGGGCTTTTTTTAGGGCTAAGGGTTATGGCTTCAGCCGAAGCAAGCGTGCGGAAGGAAAGTGAGCAAAAAAGGGCTTGGTAAGCCCCTGTAGCATGGACCTGACAGCTTGTCGTCCCAAGGGTTAGGGTTGAGGGTTTAGGGTTTAGGGTTGAGGGTTTAGGGTTTAATCCGAGCTTCTGTTTAATTGGGGGGGGCCCCCCCCCCCTCCACAATAAGGAATGCAGGGTTCCGCAATAGTTGGACCGTGGCCCTGTATTGATTCTCTACTAAAAACAATAGGCTGCAGATCCCTGAGGTGCTGTAGCTTTGCGTCTCCGCAAGCAAAACAAGATGCCTGCCGACAGATTTTTGAACCCCCCCAAAAAAATTCCTTTAAATGTGGGGGGTTTGTCCCATACGAAATCCACCCTAATGGAAAGTAGTCTTCCGGCGGGCTTCCGGCCAAAAAAAATTTCTCTAAATGTGGGGGTATTAATTAAACTGATGCTCGGATTAGGGTTTAGGGTTGAGGGTTTAAGGTTTTAAAAGCCCTAAGAGCCCTGGGAGCTCTAAGAGCCCTAAGAGCCCTTAGAATCGTTTAGGGTTTAGGGTTTAGGGTTTAGGGTTAGAAGAGCACTCAGCCCTGAACTCGAAGAACCCTTAAAACCTTAAAACTTTCAGAGCCCGGCGGCCCACTGCAATCCCTGCGAGGCGGCGGAGGCCATTTCCCAAGGCACCTGGGTTTTGGGTTTAGGGTTCTTAGGGTTGAGGGTTTAGGGTTTAGGGTTTAGGGTTCAGGGTTTAGGGTTTTTGGGGTTGAGGGCGACCAAGCCCGGGTGCAACAAGGAAACCCGAAACCCGAAACCCGAAACCCGAAACCCCAAACCCGAAACCCGAAACCCTACACCCTACACCCTACACCCTAAACCCTAAACCCTAAACCCTAAACCCTAAACCCTAAACCCTTTTTGCAAAAAAGGGGGTTTGGGGGGCCTTGGGGTTTAGGGGCTTACGCTCAGGTTGGGGCTTGAAGAGGGCTGGGAGTTCGCAAAGCTGACAGATTTAGGGTTTAGGGTTTAGGGTTTAGGGTTTAGGGTTTAGGGTTTAGGGTTTAGGGTTTAGGGTTTAGGGCTTCAGGCTTTGCGGCTTTGCGGCTTTGGGAGTTGTGTTGTTTGGGGTGTTGGGGTCTTCGGGTCGAGGGGTTTGGGGCTCTTGAAGGATTTTGAGACTTAGGGTTTAGGGTTCAGGGTTTAGGGTTTAGGGTTTAGGGGTGGCTATAGTTCGTTTTGGGTCTTAGGTTCCTTGGTTTTGGATTCCAGGGTTTGGGGTTTTGGGGTCTTGGGTATGTAGCAGGCCCAAGCTATGAAGCCACCCCAAGGGATCATAAGGGGTTTTTGGTTGAGCTGCAGTGACGTCTGCTCGGAGTTCCGGGCGGTTTAGGGTTTAGGGTTTAGGGTTTCCTCAGGTTCCGCGCACACCACCACGCGGGACGTGTGTTGTGGTGTGCGCCCAGGTTCAACGCACTCTCCCAACCCACCCACCCACATCTCAACCTTGGGCGGGTTTAGGGTTTTATAATATCGTGTGTAAGTACAGTAGTGGGAGGGGGCGCTACGGGCCGCCTTTGACCAAATCCTGGGGTACCCCCCGCGAAGGCCTCTCTGTCCCCCCAAGATCCATAGGTTTGTTTGGCGGGTTTAGGTTTTTTTTGCCCGGTGTTTCCAATTATGATGCTTATACCGGGCTTACAAGACCCATAGGTCTATGCCTTGGGCTCCCTTTGGTTTTTGGTCCTGCGACTGTCCTGGGACCTCAGGAAGTTTGGGAGGCCTGGCCGAAGGAGGCTTCCTGAAAAGATTTCCTGGTTCAGAAATGGTCCGGGCCTAACCCAAAAAAGGCCCAGAAATGGTCCGGGAGGAGCCCAAAAAGGCTCAGAAACGGTCCGGGAGAAGCCCAAAAAAAGGCTCAGAAATGGTCCGGGCGGAGCCCAGAAATTGTCCGGGAGGAGCCCAAAAAAAGGCTCAGAAATGGTCCGGCTCGCAGAAAGCTCAGAAATGGTCCGGGAGGAGCCGTACTCGGCGGGGGTGCTCTCGCGGGGTGCTCTGGTGGGGGTGCTCTGGTGGAGGGGGGGCTCTAGTGGGTGCTCTGGTGGGGTGCTCTGGCAGGAGCCCCAAAAGGCGCAGAAATGGTCCGAGGAGCGCTCAGAAACCTGCCCCAGGATTTGGCCGGACCCGTAGTGAAAATGCGATTTTTTCGTACTAAAAAACGATGGTTTTGGGTGACCCCTCCGTTTTCCAAAAAAATCTAAATCGTAACTGAACTGGCGGGATGCTCTGGCGGGGGTGCTCTGGCGGGGGTGCTCTGGGTGGTTTGGTGGGGGTGCTCTGGCGGGGGTCACTCTAAAGGCCCTGCCCCAGGATTTGGCCGGACCCGTAGTAAAAATGCGATTTTTTAGTATTGAAAAACGATGGTTTTGGGTGACCCTCCGTTTTACGGAAGGCCCCTTACGGGAAGGCCCCTTACGGGGAAGGCCCCTTACGGGGAAGGCCCCTCACGGGGAAGGCCCCTTACGGGGAAGGCCCCCTTACGGGGAAGGCCCCTTACGGGGAAGGCCCCTTACGGGGAAGGCCCCTTACGGGGAAGGCCAACTACGGGGAAGGCCCCTTACGGAGAAGGCCCCTCACGGAGAAGGGTTACGGGAGGCCCCTTACGGGGAAGGCCCGGGGAAGGCCCCTTGCGGGGAAGACCCCTTACGGGGAAGGCCCCTTACGGGGAAGGCCCCTTACGGGGAAGGCCCCTTACGGGGAAGTCCCCTTTTCGGGAAGCCCCCTTGCGCGGAAGGCCCCTTACGGGGAAGGCCCCTTACGGGGAAGGCCCCTTACGGGGAGGCTTTTTACAGGGAAGGCCCCTTACGGGGAAGGCCCCTTACGGGGCGGGATGCTCTGGCGGGGGTGCTCTGGGTGGTTTGGTGGGGGTGCTCTGGCGGGGGTCACTCTAAAGGCCCTGCCCCAGGATTTGGCCGGACCCGTAGTAAAAATGCGATTTTTTAGTATTGAAAAACGATGGTTTTGGGTGACCCTCCGTTTTACGGAAGGCCCCTTACGGGAAGGCCCCTTACGGGGAAGGCCCCTTACGGGGAAGGCCCCTCACGGGGAAGGCCCCTTACGGGGAAGGCCCCCTTACGGGGAAGGCCCCTTACGGGGAAGGCCCCTTACGGGGAAGGCCCCTTACGGGGAAGGCCAACTACGGGGAAGGCCCCTTACGGAGAAGGCCCCTCACGGAGAAGGGTTACGGGAGGCCCCTTACGGGGAAGGCCCGGGGAAGGCCCCTTGCGGGGAAGACCCCTTACGGGGAAGGCCCCTTACGGGGAAGGCCCCTTACGGGGAAGGCCCCTTACGGGGAAGGCCCCTTACGGGGAAGGCCCCTTACGGGGAAGGCCCCTCACGGGGAAGGCCCCTTACGGGGAAGGCCCTTTACGAAGGCCCCTTACGGGGAAGGCCCCTTACGGGGAAGGATGCGTGGGCCTAACTTTAAAACCGAGGGTTTAGGGTTATTCTCTTTGGGGCCAGACTGACGCTGGCACGCGGGTTCCACCCTTCTATGCGTGGGCCGCGCTCATCGCGCGCACTGGCCCCGAGCCCTCGCCAGGCTTCGCCGGACGGCTCGGGCTCGTCCGCGGGCTGGCGCCACGCGGTATCGCTCGCTGCTGCTTATCGCAGGACCCGCAGCTCGCTCTAGTTTAGGGGCGGTAGTTCGTGATCATGCTAAGCCGAAACAGGGTCGCAACCCTGTTAAGCCCCTAACCCTCTCACCTGCACCTCTGGCCCTGAACTGGCTTTCTCTTGGCTTGTTGAAGGCTGAATGTTGGAAATCTCTCACCTTCAACTATGCCTGGATCCCAGATCGTCCAGATCAACTTTGGGAGGACTGCTCCCCGAGAGAGAATGGAACAAGAAGACTTGGCTGACCGAGTGGAGTCCGCCTTCAATGAGGCTCTGAGCCTGAGCATCTCTGGCCCAACGCTTGAGAACCCAAAAAACCCAATACAACCCCTAAACCCAAAGCCCCTCAATCCTGATCCCGGAGGCGTCCGAAGCACTAAGCCCTAAGCCCAAAGCCCTAAGCCCTAAGCCCCAAGCCCTAAACCCTAAACCCTAAACCCTAAACCCCAACAAAATCCTTCTCTTCCCCCCCGCCCCCCCCCCCCCCCCCCGCTCACGCGCAGGCCGCGTGACCGTGGACGGCCAGGTGGCCACGAGCAACTTCAAGGTGCCTCTTGAAGCTTAGGGTTTAAGGTTTAGGGTTTAGGGTTCGGGGTTTATGGTTTAGGGTTCGGGCTTAACCAAGAAAAGAATCAACATATCATGTTTATTCTGGTTCGAAGGAGGTTTTGGGCGTGTTTTCAGGACTTTGGGGGGCTTAAGGGTTTGATGCAGAAAGGGTTTGGCTTTCGGGCTTGGGGTGGGAGTTGAAGGGTTCAGGGCTTCGGGGGTTTGAGGTGCGGGGTTGTTGTTTGGCGTTCCGGGCTTCTGAGCTTAGGGCGCGGGTTCACGGTTTAAGTAGGCTTGCTTGTTGGGGGGTTGTTTAGGCAAGGTAGGGTTTAGGGTTTAGGGTTTAGAGTTTGGGGCCTGGGGAAGTCTAGGAATCTAGTGGAGCCTTCCGCGTGCGGTGCCCGCGTAACCGTCGACACAGAGCCCAAAACCATAAACCCTAAACCCGAAACCCTAAACCATCAACCCAGCCCCTCCGTCGATTCGTGCGAGTTCGAGCATCGGCCCGGCTGGGTCTCGAATCTGGATGTTTCCCGAAGGTTTAGGGTTTAGGGTTTAGGGTTTAGGGTTTAGGGTTTAGGGTTTAGGGCTTAGGGTTTAGGGTTTAGGGTTGAGCCCGGTTGCAAAAAAGGGTTTAGGGTTTAGGCCCTGTCTGTCTCTTCTTTTAAGAAGTATAAGGAGGGACCCCCTAGAAGGGACCCTTGATCTTATTCCCCTAGAGGACCCCTATTTATACCTTATATAGTCCCTACAAGCTTTAAGTAGCCCTAAATTAACCCCAAGGTCTCTCATAAAAGTCCCTCCTCTAGTGTCTTGATTCTAGGGGGCCATGTCTGAGACTCTTTGAAGGCCCTTCGTCCTAAACCCTAAACCCTAAACCCTAAACCCTAAACCCTAAACCCTAAGCACCCTCCCCTAAACCTTAGCATCCCTGTAGCGCCCTGCATGTGGTCAGTTCTTTAAATCAGGGTCCCTTTTTTGGGTGCCCTAAACCCTAAACCCTAAACCCTAAACCCTAAACCCTAAACCCTAAACCCTAAACCCTAAACCCTAAAACAATAGGGGGGCTGCCTTATAATAAGGACCCCAGGAGGGAACCATCTCGGAGAGAAAGCCATGTGCCCCTGCCCTCACAGGTCTTCGAGCAAGCCCAGGTTGTCCTGGTCGCTCGGAGCTCTTTGTGGTTGAAGGGGGTTTGGCGGTTTAGGGTTTAGGGTTTAGGGTTTAGGGTTAGGGGCCTAAGTGGGTTTAAGGGGCTTGAGGGGCTTTAGGGGCTGAAAGGTCTCGTGGGGGGGGCTTAAGAGGTTTGAGGGGCTTAAGGGTTTGAAGGGAGCCCCGCAACCTTTATCCAAAGTTCCTACCGCAGTAAGCAACCTCCAAAACTCTAGGCACACTTGCCAGAGTCTCCACATTTACCAAATGAATCCCCGAAACAAAGGCCTCTAACCTGACAGTTAAATACCCTCAACCCTCAAACCCTCAACCCTCAAACCCTCAACCCTCAACCCTCAACCCTCATTCCTCAACCCTAAACCTTAAACCCTAAACCCTCAACCCTCAACCCTCAACCCTCAACCCTCAACCCTAAACCCTAAACCCTAAACCCTAAACCCTAAACCCTAAACCCTAAACCCCCAAGGATGGTATGGAAGTGCCGGCTCCCGGTCCTGAGCCCAAGCTCTGGGCGATGAACAAACCCAGGCCGCGTTCAGGGTACTGGGTTTAGGGTTTAGGGTTTAGGGCTTAGGGTTGAGGGTTTAGGGTTTAGGCTTGAGGGATTCAGGGCTTGGGGTTTCAGAAAACGTCACAATACGGTTTAGAGTTTAGGGTTTAGAGTTTAGGGTTTAGGGGTTGGGGCTTTGCGGTATTGGTTTGGCAGTTTAGGTTTCCAGGGTTTTTAAGAGCTTCAGGGGACATGTGCAAGTCTGGGACGTGCTTTTCAGGACGTTGAGCTCCCTTTGAGGCTTCCGCAAAGCAAGGCCGGGGGAGCTCTGAGCCCTCTTATACTTACAAACAGTCCTTAATCAATAGGGATTGAAGTACCCCTAAATTATAATCCCCACCAAGGACTGTTTACGTTTAGGCTTCTGAGGCCTGCAAGAGGCCGCAGGCTAAAGTACCAAAAGCTCCCGGTAGCCACCCGCACCCCCCCCCTCCCCCCGGAGCTCTAACAGATCCTTAGGGGCTGGGTGGTAAGCCTGAAAAACTTTTTGGGTTCTATAATCCTACTAGAACTAAAAAGTAAGCTTTTTGGGTTCTATAATCCTACTAGAACTGAAAAGGAAGCTTTTTGGGTTCTATGATCCTACTGGAACTAAGAAGGAAAACCTTTTTTTGTGGGCTAGGGCCTTCCGCTCCTTAGGATCCTCTCGCAAGCCACCCTAAACCTTTAACCCTAAACCCTTAACCCCTTAAACCCTTCAACCCTAAACCTTAAATCCTAGACCCTAAACCCCAAACCCTAAACCCTAAGCCCTAAACCCTAAACCCTAAACCCTAAACCCTAAACCCTAAACCCTAAACCCTAAACCCTAAACCCTAAACCCTAAACCCTAAACCCTAAACCCTAAACCCTAAACCCTAAACCGCCCAAGGGTAGTCAGCCCCTCTGGGATCCTCTCGCAAGTAGCTGCGATCAGGAAGGTCCTTTGTGAGCCTGGCCCGGAGAAGAGTGGCGTGGCCGCACCTTCAGAGAGTGGGAAGCAACTGTCGCGAATGTTGAGGGTTTGGAGGGTGTTTAGGGTTTTAGGGAATTTGGGTTTTTCGAGGTTTTTAGGGTTTTGAGGGTTTTTAGGGTTTTTAGGGCTTTTCGGATTTAGGGTTTAGGGTTTAGGGTCACCATGGCACGAGATGGGTGCCTTTGCAAAAGCCAAAGTACTTACCCTCAGCCCTCTTTAAAAGCACCTCGACAGCGCGCCAGGTGATGGCACCGAAACGCTGAGGCGGCGTATGCGGCGCTGGTACGAGAAGGATGGCTTTGGTTTTGAAGGGTAGGGCGCGCCTCTTCGAGAGACCTCGGATGCCGGGTTTAGGGTTTAGGGTTTAGGGTTTAGGGTTTAGGGTTTAGGGTTTAGGGTTTAGGGTTTAGGGTTTAGGGTTTAGGGTTTAGGGATATTCTGGTTTGGAGCACCGGTGGTTGAACGTCCTTCTCCGTAGGTGTGGGGAGACAAATAGCAGCAAAGCACGTAGTTCTCTACACATGGTCTTGCGGGGATGTACGACGCCTGGAGCATGAGCCCTGTGTCACTGTCAGGGCTTGTTAAGGAACCTTACCATAACTTTGCAGTCTTAGAGGCACTGAACCCTAAACCCTAAACCCTAAACCCTAAACCCTAAACCCTAAACCCTAAACCCTACACCCTACACCCTAAACCCTACACCCTAAACCCTAAACCCTAAACCCTAAACCCTAAACCCTAAACCCTAAACCCTGAACCCTGAACCCTGAACCCTGAACCCTGAACCCTGAACCCTAAACCCCAAGCCCTAAGCCCTAAGCCCTAAGCCCTAAGCCCTAAGCCCGAAGCCCTAAGCCCTAAGCCCTAAGCCCTAAACCCTGAACCCTGAACCCTGAACCCTCAACCCTAAACCCTAAACCCTACACCCTAAACCCTAAACCCTAACCCCCCTCCCCCGCAACCGTGAACCCTCAACTCAACCTCAAGCGCCTGAAAGCCTGGCACCCTTTAAGCTGAGGCCTTTGAGGCTTAGCATAAGGGCCCCTGAACACCGAACATGCACCCTAAACCCTAAACTCAAAACCCGAAACCCTAAACCCTAAGCCCTAAACTCTAAACCCTAAACCTTACACCCTAAACCCTCGCGCAGTGCCTGCATGCAGTGGTAAGTGCAGTTGAGCGATTCAGAGGCTACCTCCCTAAGCCCTAAACCACGCAATGATATGCATCTGTATGTACTTATGCCTGTATGTTTGTAAATAAATATGTAGAAATGTACATGAACACACACACACACACACACATATATATATATATATATAATATACACATGTACACATACATACATTTAGATAGATAGATAGATTGATAAAATACACAGATAGTTAGATAGATAGATATATATATATATATACATACTCATGTTGTTTGAGCCGTTCAACTCCTAAACTTTAACGAGAACTCCCTTGGGAAGGAGATGACGAAGATCGGGAAAGCGGTCGGTGAAGGGCTTGAAGCATTTCGGCTTCAGGCTTCGCGTTTCGTTTTAGGTTAGGGTTTCGGGTTTAGGGTTTAGGGTCTCGGCTCCTGAGTTCCGGGTTGAGACAATCATAAGGTTTTCGTTCGTGTCCCCCCGTTTGTGGGTTTAATCATCGTTTATCGGTTGATTGCGGGGTTTTGACTCCGGTAGGAAGGCTCTGGTTTTAACTCCCTGTCGTGCTGCAAGAAAAGCTAGGATGCCGCGTGGCGCCACCTTTCTTTTTTTGGGGGGGGGGGGGGAGGGGGGGAGGGGTTTAGGGTCCCTGATCAAGCCCTTAAAGCAAAATTGGGCGCCCTGTTTTTAGTCCTAGGTTACTGGGCAACCTAGCCACTACTTAACGTGTGTGTCAAAACATGTACCAGCCTTTTCATTGAACATAAGCTTTGAATTCTTATTCAACCCTAAACCCTAAACCCCAAACCCTCGCTGATGTTGTTTCAGAAAGAACCCGGGGGGTGGAAGGGAGGGTGGTGCTAAAGGGTGCAGGTCTTTCCCCAAATCAGTGCCCTTACCCCCCCCCCCCCCCCCCCTCCTCCCTTCCAACCCTTGGCCCCTTAAAACTTAACACCCTAAGCCCCTAAACCCTTAAACCCTAAACCTTAAGCCCGAATTTCCTAAAGCCCCTAAACCGGTATGATGTTGCTGACCTGAAGCACGTAGCCTTTTTATGGGGCGTTGGTTCCACGAGTTTGGGCCCACTCATCGCGAAGCCCGAAAACGCCTAGGAAGAGAGCTTGAAGGACAAGCACTGGGTCATCGTCTGCTGGCCGGCAGTGTTTAGGGTGTAGGGTTTAGTTTAGGGTTTAGGGTTCCGTGGGTTTCAAATAAAGAGCCTTGGACGTTCGAGAGATGGAAAGCCCAGGAGTTTTCCGGAGCCTTTGTTATGGAACTGAGCCGAATAAGGTTTCTGTCTTTTGCCAGCTCACCCTTTGTCATGGTATCTTATTTGAAGACAGGAACACGTGTTTTCAGAATGGGCATGAGGGCAATTCAGGCGGATTCCCCCGAGCCACGCCCCAGTCCCTTCAGAGGGGCTTCTTTAATAACCCTAAACCCTAAACCCTAAACCCTAAACCCTAAACCCTAAACCCTAAACCCTAAACACTTTAGTTGGTTCGGAGATCTTCGGACTTTGGGACTTCGACCCCCAGATTCCTTTAAGGACGTTGTCCTCCCTCCCCCCACTTTTCCCCCATTCAATTCCTCTGAAGCGCGAATCCTCATAAACCCTGAACCCTAACCCAGAAACCCGAAACCCTAAACCCTAAACCCTAAACCCTAAACCCTAAACCCTAAACCCTAAGCTAAACCCTAAACCCCAAACCCCAAACCCCAAACCCCAAACCGTAAACCCTAAACCCTAAACCACAGTAAGACCGTAAACTGCACCCTGTAGCCTTGAGAGCCCCCATGACGTTTCCTGCTGCATGCTTCTGCCCTTCTTTAACCCACGTATGATAAATGTGTCTGCAGTCCCCGTAGGGTTAGGGTTTAGGGTTTAGGGTTTAGGGTTTAGGGTTTAGGGTTTAGGGTTTAGGGTTTAGGGTTTAGGGTTTAGGGTTTAGGGTTTAGGGTTTAGGGTTTAGTTAGGGTTTAGGGTTCAGGGTTTAGGGTTTTGAGTTTAGGGTTTGGGGTTTAGGGTTTAGGGAACCTTCAACCGTTCTTTGCGTTGCAAGCTCTCAGCCCTGAAATGGCTCCGAGGCCACCGGCCTCGCGTACGCTTCCGACGGCCTGGTCCTTCTGATCCCCAGCTCCACTAGGGTTTAGGGTTTAGGGTTAAGCCCCCCAAGCCCTAAACGCCTGGGCTTGAGTTCAGTGTTTGGGGTTTGGGGCCAGGGGGTTGTTCCTGGGCCGGGAGGCTATTTTGAGGAGTTGAGTCGAGTTCCCTGAGTGTTGCAGGAACCAGATATCATGTGGTTTAGGGTTTAGGGTTTGGGGTTTAGAGTTTAGGGTCTAGGGTCTAGGGTTTAGGGTCTTGGGGTTTAGGGTTAGGTCTGGTTTGGGGTTTAGGGTTTAGGGCGTGTCAGACGGGAGCGCGCTTTGGGAGCGCGCGGTAGTCTGCAGACCTACCCACCCCAAGACCGCCCACTTACAACTCTCAAGGAGTTAAGACCTTTTATTTTTTTACAAAGCATCACATGAGTCAGCACTCACACCCTTTTTGGGGATTTCCACAAGGTGCGTGGACCAGGCGCAAAGCTGCAGCAGACGGAAACGAGGCAGGGTCCGTGAAGACAGCTTGGGTTGGCGCGAAGGGGCTAAGGGATGGGCCAGGAACAGAGAAAGGCAGCGAGGCTTGGTTGGCGTGAAGGGGCTCCAGCCAGGAAGAACACACAGTGAACAGCTTGGGTTAACCAAAAAAACCACGAAAACAAGGCTGGTAGATTGGCTTGGCGCGAACGGGGTAAGGTGGGGTGCCGAACCAGGGTCAGGACCAGGCACAAAGTTGCAGCAAACGGAAGCGAGGCGATTGGGTTGGCGGGAAGGGGCGAAAGCCAGAGGGAGAGCCCCGAAACAGGACACAAACTGGTGCGCGGACAGCTTGGCTTGGCGCAAGGGGGTAGATGACTCGAACAGGCCAGAGGCCAGGGCCAGGGCCGCAAAACTAGTCAGGACAGAGGGTCAGGGTCAGGGTCAAGCAGGGGCCAGGGCCAGGGCCAGGGCCAGGGCCAGGGCCAGGCCAAGGGCCAGGAGGGCCAGTCAGGGTCAGGGGCAGGGTCAGGGCCAGGGCCAGGGCCAGCACCAGGAGGAGGGCCAGGCCAGAACAGGTCCAAGGGCCCAAAGCCAGGGTGAACTGGTGCGCGGACAGCTTGGCTTGGCGCAAGGGGGTAAGATGACTCGAACAGGCCAGAGGCCACGGCCAGGGCCGCAAAACTCGTCAGAGGGCCAGGGCCAGCACCACAGGGACAGGGTCAGGGCCAGGGCGGGGGTCAGGGCCAGGGCCAGCGCCAGACCCACAAGTAAGAGGGCCAGGGCCAGGGCCAGGGCCAGGGCCAGGGCCAGGCCCAGGGCCAGCACCAGGCCAGGCCCAGGCCAGGGCCAGGACGAGGGTCAGGGTCAGGGCCAGGGCCACCAGGGCCAAGGGCCAGGGGTGCAGGCCCCAGGGTCCAGGGCCAGGGCCAGGGCCAGGGTCCAGCCAGGGCCAGGGCCAGCCAAAGCCAGGGCCAGGGCCAGGGCCAGGGCCAGGGCCAGGGCCAGGGCCAGGGCCAGGGCCAGGGCCAGGGCCAGGGCCAGGGCCAGGACCAGGGCCAGGGCCCAAAAAGGTTTTTTGGCCAGAGCCCTGCCTGCCCCAACAAAACGGCCCCTGGTGCCCTCAGCCCAGCGGATGGGGGTGATGGACCAGGAGTCTCAAGGGGCTGTCCAGGGGGCCCTCCAAGGCAGGACCCAACCATGTGCGCGGACAGCTTGGGGTTTAGGGTAATATAATATAATACAGTGACAACTGCTGACTCGGCTTGTGCCTGCCTGGAGGGTAAGCCAGCCTGGAGGCCAGCTCGGTCGCCCGCCTGGGGCTCCCTCACAGGGTCTCACTGAGCGCTCGACCAGCGCCCGCCTACCCCAAAAGACAAGAGAGTGGGGTGGCGGGCGGGTTTAGGGTTAGGGTTTAGGGTTTAGGGTTTAGGGTTTAGGGTTTAGGGTGTGCATGCGAGGTCGCGCGCTCGGGTGTGAAGCACCCCGGGCCGCGCGCTCGCGTTGCCCGTACACCCGCCCCGGCCACCCAAACTATTCTCAATTAGGGTTTAGGGTTCACCCCCCCAACCCCCCTCAAGGGGGGCTTTCACCTCAACCCAAGACGCATTTCAAGCCGTCATCGCCCAGCCCACTTGAGGCTCGAAAGCATGTATTGAGGTTCGAAAAACGCTTGGTGGTAACCTCGACCCTGCTCGGGCCGAGGATTCTTGCCCTGTTCGGACCGCCCTGAACACTAAATCATCGTCCAGCCCTCTTGAGGCTCGAAAGCATCTATTGAGGTTCGAAAAACGCCTGGTGGTAACCTCGACCCTGCTCGGGCCGAGGCTTCTTGCCCTGTTCGGACCGCCTTGAACACTAAATCCAGAGGCCCACGCGTTTCAATCTGCCATCGCCCAGCCCTCTTGAGGCTCGAAAGCATTATTGAGGTTCGGAAAGCGTCTCGACCCTGTTCGGGCCGAGGCTTCTTGCCCTGTTCGGCCGCCCGGAACATTAAATCCTGAACGTCTGCAAGCACCTCAAGCCCTGAGGAGGCGACGGGAGTGATTGCTCACAACAGCCCCAAAAATCAACCAGCCTGCCTGGACGCCCTCGCCGCTCTTTTCGTATGGGCGCTCGGGCTGTGAGCCCTCGGCCAAGCCGTTCGGGGTCTGTCGCTCGACGGAAGCGACCCCTCACTAAGTTTAGGGTTTAGGGTTTAGGGTTTAGGGTTACGCGAGCCTGAAGATCAGGCGAGGCTGGGACGCTGGCAGTCGTGAAGTCCGATTTTCAAAAGGATTCCGTGAGCTAAAGCTCCCCAACAGCAACCCAGGTCCGACTTGGTCCCTAAACCCTGAACCCTAAGCCCTAAACCCTAAGCCCTAAACCCTAAACCCTAAACCCTAAACGCTAAACCCTAAACCCTAAACCCTAAACCCTAGACCCTAGACCCTAGACCCTAGACCCTAGATCCTAGACCCTAGACCCTAGACCCTAGACCCTAGGCCCTAGGCCCTAGGCCCTAGGCCCTAAACCCTAAACCCTAAACCCTCACGACTTCGAAGTCTTCAAGGGGGGATCACAGAATCACGGGGTCACGTGCCACCAGGACTTCACGTTGGCTGAGCCTTGGACCTCATGCCGTGACAAGCCACTGCGTTCTCCAAGCTCGAGGAGAGCAAAGATCGCACCCTGGCCGCTGGTGATACATTCCTCCCCAAGGCTGCCGTCTTTCAGAACGCAAGAAGGCGGTGCTTGGCCCAGGTGCTGCCCATGGTGTGCTTGCTGCTTGCAGGTCTGGGAGCCCTGAAGGATGGCCGAAGATGATCGAGTGCCAAGCAGTGGCCTCCCTGGACGCCGCGTGGGACGACATTTAGGGTCTAGGGTTTAGGGTTTAGGGTTTAGGGTTTAGGGCTTGCTTCCAAGTGTGCCGAGGTTCCAGGGTGGGCCAAAGCCACCAACGAGACCTTCAGTGAAAGCGGGGCCGGCCAAGCCTTGAACAACTAGCCTCCTAAGCCCTGAACCCCAAACACTAAACCCTAAACCCTAAACCCCTAACCCCTAAACCCTACACCCTAAACCCTAAACCCTAAGCCCTAAGCCCTAAACCCTAAGCCCTAAACCCTAACCCTTGCCGTAAGGGTTTCGGGAGTACAGTTTGGTTCGGGTGTAGGTGTTCGTGGCTTAAGGATCTGGGGTCATCACTGGCGTTTAGTGAAGTGTTGAAGAGTGCATGGTTTCGGTGAGGATGACTTTCAACCCCCTCCATATCATCCACTGACTGCTTCCGAGTATCCCGGGTATCCAAGGTGCTGCCAACTTCTTGTCAGCGAAGCTGAAAACGTCAGAGACAGAGAGTCGAGAGGGAGAGAGAGAACTAGAATCGCCATGCCCAACCTAACCCAAGGACCAACGATGGTATCTTTGCGGAGACGCTGGCCAGCCGGGACCCCGTGATGCACAGTGGGATGAACAGTGGGAGCGGGGCACATGGGTCTTATGTAGATGTTTCGAGGTTCTGCCTCTTGGTTTCTGCAAGACGCCCCTATCATCCCCCAAACTCCAGGCTGCCCTCGCTTGCTCGCCTAAACCTCTCAACCCTAAACCGAAACCGGCTGCGAAGACGTCCATCTCTACCCTGTGCCACCTAAACCTTAAACCCCAAAAGCTTCTTCAAGCCCAAGCCCTGTCCTGTTTTTCGCCCAGAAGGCAAAAATGCCCCTGTCTTAAGGAGGAAATGTCATACGCACCCTTCTTCCCCGGGAATGATTGAGGGGGACTGGCCTGCGTAGGTGCGGAGAGCAACGTCTTGACAGCGTACGACGTCAAAATCCAAGGCACCGGAGTTCCGGCGTCGGGGAAGAGCAGGGAAAGCTCCTCAACCCGAAATGCTTGGGATGTTCCCCCGTATACTAACAGTCCCTAATAGGGACTGCAATAGGGGGAATTATAACCCTATTAAGGATTGTGAGTATAAGGCAAAGGGAGAGCATCCCAACCATCAACCCTCAGCCCTAACCCCGAAACAATCCACCTGTAGCGTTCAGGCAAGTTATCTTGAAAGCCTGCAGCCGTGGGACCATTCGCTCGAGAGTCCGGTTGTTGCGGTGGTGGACCTATCCCAAAACCCTACACCCTACACCCTAAACCCTATGTACCTTAAACTCTATGTGGCCTGCCCACCTTAAGTTATCGGGTCTATACGCTTTAGGGTTTAGGGTTTAAGCCCTATGCCCTGAGCCCTGAACGCTAAGAATCGGTTTCTGCCAAAGCAAGCTCCCGGTTTGGGGCTTAGGGTTTCGGGATAGCTTTAGGGTTTAGGGTCTTGGATTTAGGGTGTGCATCAGTGTGCTCACGCGAGGAGTACGCCTTGTCTTTTGCTGAGGGGCACACTGCCTATCGCGTGCTTGCATAGCTTAGTGGCCCCACCGAACTATTCGCAGGGTTTGGGGGCGATTCTAGCTTTTTGGCTACGAGGTCCTAATTCGAGTCAGTTTGTCGTGCTTCTCTCGCTGCAAATGGACCGTGCCAGGACAAAGCTCGTTCATGTTAAGGCCGCGCGACCCGCCTCGGCCGGGGCGTGCCCAGTTTGCAACCCAAACCGGAGCCGGGTGAGGGCAAAGGTGCTGATAGAATCAGGGCTTGGATGGTCGTTCGAATCTGTTGTAACACGTAAGTTCATGCTTAGAGCAGGCCCCCCAAATCTGGGAGCAGTAAAACAAGAAAAGCAAGCAAGCACCGCGTAGGGTTCAGGGTTTAGGGTTTAGGGTTTAGGGTTTAGGGTTTAGGGTTTAGGGTTTAGGGTTTAGGGTTTAGGGTTTAGGGTTTAGGGTTTAGGGTTCGGGTTTCGGGTTTCTGGGTTTCGGATTCGGGTTGAGGGTTGGTATCTGCGAGGCGACCCGCCGATCGACCTCCTCCACAAGTGGCGGACGGGAGCCAGAGCCGGCGGTGTGAAGTATGGTCGCGCTGCCCGGCAGCTCATTCAAGGGACTCAAGGAGGGAGCCTTCTTTAAGGGGCCTTAGGCTATTTGGGGGGCTACTTCGGGATGTAGGGGCTGCATAAGGTATATATATATATATATATGTGCCCATATAATATAGTGGTTAATTATACAGGGGAAAAAGATTACGGGTCCCTTCTAGGGGTCCCTGTGACCCTTAAACCATGGTGCAGAGGTCAAGGTTCGTGCAGGGACCCTTCGCCCGAACTTCCTTGCATACACGCCGGCCTTGCTGCTGCCAACATCAGTCGCCAGGATGCAGCCCGCAGACCCAAATGGTTTGGGACATGTTGGGATCCGGCCTTCATTTCGCATGGAAACAACATGGTCTAGCAGAAGCTGTAGTTCGAACGGGTATTTCGGTAGCCTCGAGTATAACAATACAGGGCATTCTGAGGTGATGAAACTTGGTAGATATTTAGGCTCCTTGTTTTTTTTTCCTGGTTCTTAGTTGGGAAGAAGGGAGTTCAGCATCTCATGTCGCCCTATGTATACCCTCTGAGGGGATTCTGGGGGTACCTACGTACTTCCCTCACTCCCGACGACGAACCGGTCAGAGTATTGGCGGACCACCGGTGTATTAGAGTTTAGGGTTTAGGGTTTAGGGTTTAGGGAAGCTCCCAGGTGTGGTGCAGCATGACGAAGCGGACGGGCGCCACGGCGAAGTTGCGGGCGCCTTGACAAAGAAACCCCGAACCCTTTTAGGGTGTAGTGCTTAGGGTTTAGGGTTTAGGGTTTTTGTGTGTTGCAGCGTCGGACATGACACGTGTTGCAGATTTTCAGGTGAACGGCCGCAGAGACAAAACAGCAGCCTCTGTAGGGCAGTACGAGCGATTGTGGGCACGTATCAAAGCGGCGAGACACATAGGGACCTTTTGCAGGCTTTGCATGGTTACGGTTAGCGTTGAGGTCTTTTGGATGATGGGTGTGCTCTTGGCGGTTGCTGTCACTGCTGCCACTAGCCCGAAACCCTAAACCCTAAACCCTTGCTGTCACTAGCATGGGTCCCGCGTCCCGAGTGCTGATTTTTTCGAGATGGCTGTTGTCCGGTTGTTGTATACCCTGCTGAGTGACTTCGTGTCGGCTCTGCGGGAGCGAGAGGGACTACCTAAAACCTAAACTCTAAACCCAGGGGTTTAGAGTTTAGGTTTAGGGTTTAAGGGCACCCAAGCCCTAAACCCTAAACCCCAAACCCTAAACCCTAAGCCCTAAACCCCAAAGCCCAAACCCCAAACCCTAGCTGCTGAAACGGCAACTCTCGGTCCAAAAAGGTTGTTCCTCCGAACATTCCAAGGGTTGAACACCTGGAGGAAGCGTTTTGGTTAGCCGGGTTTAGGGTTTAGGGTTTAGGATTTAGGGTTTAGGGTTTAGGTTTTAGGGTCAGCCACAGGTCCAAGTTCGAAGGTATTAGGGAACCTTTGGGTACACTCCCCCCCCCCCCCGAACCCCCCTCCCTTAAGAACCAATTGCAGGGCTCCGGGTTTAGGGCGTTTTGGGTTTGGGTTCAAGTTCCATACAAACAAACTGGGACACAGAGACGCGCACACGCCTTCACCCAAACGTAAAGATACGACCGGCAGGTTTTAAGTTGCGAACAAACCTCAAAACCCCATACTAACTTATTTATAGGGGTTAGGGTTTAGGGTTTAGGGTTTAGGGTTTAGGGTTTAGGGTTTAGGGTTTAGGGGCTTCAGGGGGGTTCTTAGGGAACCCTTAAGGGAAGCTTTGGGAGCCTTAGGGACTAGTAGGGGAGTATTAGGGAACCTTGGGTTACATACCCCGCCTCGAACCCCCCTCCCTTAAGAACCCTTTTCAGAAATGAGGGACTTAGGTGACCTTATATAGTTCTTTTGTCCACTACGTTCCCAGCATCTTACTAGTATAAGCCCGCCTCAGAAAAGGAACTCACGAGTGCGACCGCGATCATGGAATCAATTTTGGGCGTTTTCCGGTTCATGATCATCAAGCGAGCAGCTCACAACAATGTTGCATGCAAGTGAACCACTCCTTTCTGCAAACCGCTGAGTCTATCCGAAGACATAAGAGTCGTGATACTTTCATCGGCAGCTGAAGCTCCCAGACGGGGCGGAGAGCTGTTGCACATAGCCCCCTCTGCACGGGAAGCTGCAGCCTTCAAAGAAATGACCCCGGGTGGGGGGGCTGGGCCTGACTGAAATCCTTGAGATTCCAAGTGCGGCGCCGACAACAATCGTACAATCAAGAGTTCCCCCATCCCCAGTTTGCGTCGGGACAGGTCTCTCAGCAAAAGCTACGTTGCATCGCAAAGGACAATTTTGTCCACTACGTTCCCAGCATCTTACTAGTATAAGCCCGCCTCAGAAAAGGAACTCACGAGTGCGACCGCGATCATGGAATCAATTTTGGGCGTTTTCCGGTTCATGATCATCAAGCGAGCAGCTCACAACAATGTTGCATGCAAGTGAACCACTCCTTTCTGCAAACCGCTGAGTCTATCCGAAGACATAAGAGTCGTGATACTTTCATCGGCAGCTGAAGCTCCCAGACGGGGCGGAGAGCTGTTGCACATAGCCCCCTCTGCACGGGAAGCTGCAGCCTTCAAAGAAATGACCCACATCCACTCGTGCCCCGAACTCCGCTCAGCAGTTGCGTAATCAAGCAGCTCGTGTAAAAGCGCTTCGAAACATCCACGCTGCAAATGAAAGGACCATGACCATGAACCCGAAACACCCATATCCCCGAAGGTCACAAAACTTGTGGAAAAAGTACCAAGCAATCGGCCAATGCTGCAGCACGAAAGAATTGCAAGTCGTCCACCAGCGATGCCAGGTACTCAAAGGAGCGGCTTTTTCGGGGAAAAGATCCCAGGAGACATTCACGGCCGGAATGTGCGCAAGAACTTGATGCAAAGTTTCCAGAATTTGGTCATGCTCTGCTTCCAAGTTCATGGCCATAAGTTCCCACACTGGATTGGCCCATTGAGGCACGAAATCAACCGTGAACGTTTCAAACTCCATGACGAGCATGCCCGATGAATGCAGCAAAAGGTTAGTCTGATAACTTGCGAAACTGCCGTTCAGACGCACCTCGTAGTCGTGCAAAGTCAGAAAAGGCATGTCAGCGCTGATGTGGAATACATTTTGGTGCCACTGCTGCAGCATTGCCGAGCGGTTCAAACGCGTAGCAGCTCGCCCCTCGGGCGAGACCAGCCAACCTGCCAGTGTCTCATGGCGGGCGGCTGCCACTCGCCCATGCACTCGATGGGCATGGACATCAATGAGATCCACACCCCGCCACGCAGCCTCCGCAGCAGTCAATGTAGTAGTGGTCACGCCGACGGCCGCTGAGGACAACACTGTCGTTAGCTCCGTCCCTTTGGATACAACAGTGGCCGCCGCTTGGCCCACTGCCTCTGAAACCAAAGCTGCAGAGCCCAGAATGTTGACGAGATGGTGTATTGCGCCATGGTTGCCAAACAGAAACATCAGGGCCAAGAAACTTGTCATTCGGCCCCAAAACATTCGAGGAAAACGGGGCCACTTTAACCATCGCGAAGCGGCACTACGGCGCCTGCGGCCGGGACCGCTTGGGCGGGGGTTTTGGTCCGCGGCCCCGGCCCTTGGCAGAACTGGCTGACCTGATGGCTCGGGGCTCGGGGGCCTGAGAACTGCCGCGCTCCACCTCGGTTTTGTCGCAGGAGATACCGCCGGCCCTGGAGTCAGACTCCGCTTCCTGCCAAGTCGTCGGCCATTGGTAGGGTGCACGGAGCTCGCCACGGGGGCGCGCTTCGGCACCGGAGCGGTTTCCATGCGCCTCAGCTAGCAAAGCATGCACAGGGAAATAAAGGAGCAGGTGAGCACTGACATACACCATCGCGTCCGATAAATGTTGTAATCGCATGGCCGTGCCAACCTGTGCTGCTGTGATTGGGTCAATGTATACTTTGAACGAAGTCTCGCTCGCCCAACGCCCCTCCCGCCGTACCACTGTAGGGTCCTCGCCTGCAGCAATCCGCTCGCTGGCGAACCCGGCACGAGGAGAATGAGGAGTGTACCCAATCACTACCCCTAGATCGCGCTCCACCTGCTTGAAACATCGCAAGTAAAAAGCATAACTGTAGGGAAATAGCTTCTCACCACGCCTTGTGCATGCGACTAGGCGTCTCATCAGCTCGATCATTTCAGCATGTTTATGTGGATACAATAGCGCAAACTGTTCTCGCTTTGCTTTGGTTCCAACAGCTGTACCGAGTCTGATGACAGTGTTGTCCGATGCTCTGTAAGGCAGCAAAATAGACGAGGATGTTAATGCCAACAGCTCGGAGGGCCGGAGGCCACACGTTTGTTGCAAAATCAATCCCAGGCCCATTCGCGGAAAACCCATGTTCACCAAGTATGCCGCCCACAGTTTTGCAGGTTCGGACAACATAGGCACTTTGTGATTGATGGGACGTGCACGTTCATAGCCTTCTGCGACTGCACGCGCCCAAACTAGAGGTTTGAAGCGAGGGAAGAAAAACTCAACAGCACACATGGTCGTGACAAAACGTGATTTGCCAATGCTGCATGCCTCTTTCCACTCCACCAACAAATCATCAAACTCCTCTTGTTTTGAAGGTGAATACCGGGCTTCATCCAACCATTGAACAAAAACTGCAGCATGTCGCTGATAAGTTGATAAAGTCTTGGTGCTGACCCTGGCGGCCTGATGACGATCAAGCCTGCGGGGGCCGCAACAACTTTTGCCTTGGAATATACTCATGTTGTCTTGAGAGCATGTCTGCCGGCATCATTGCCGACTCCACCCATGGTAAAAAGAGCCGAATAGCTGACACTAGAAGTGATGATGTTTTCATCCGCCACAAGCGATTGAGTGGCCACGACGTTGATCGCCCCTTTGCGTGCGACCAAGCGCACGGTTGATTGTCTTGTAAGCTAATAACAAAGTGCCTGTGCGCAGACGGTCTCACACTAAGCAGTCGGGCCAATCTCACGACAGCTCTGGCTTCGCCAAGCGTGATGTGATCCACTGTTTTCCAGCGTCCCCAAGCCATTGGAAGCCACCTAGCCTTTCCCTCGTTTTGGAATATTTCATTCGGTAGTAGTGAAAAAGGCTTGGAAGCTTTAATCGGCCGCTCGGGGAACTTCAAACCCGTGAAATCTCCAGAAAGGCGAGACACAGAACGGCTCTGCGATTCCCCATACTCTAAAATTTGTTCGATTGCCGCCCTTGAAACATCACGAACTGTGATCCCATAACCGCCTGCATCAACTTCGCTGTTTCCCATTGCATCGGTAGCAAAAATTGTGGTAGCTAATGGCGCTCCGGCGTCATAGAACAACCACGGTGCTGCGTAGCTCATTGCCAGGACTTCTCGCCTGGCACTGGGCCACCACCGAATAGTCTCATTTGGGTGGGCATCCAACATCCGATAAACTGCGTGCGGTATGCTCAGCAAATCTCTGTTTAGCAAAGCAGCAAACACCCACACCCCAAGCACAGCTCGCAACACCTCCACATCTATCCAAACTGGCACTGCCAGCTCCTTCAAGGCATCAGCGAGCAGCGCCCATTTGTCATCTGGCAGTTTGAATCGAGCTGGCCTCGCTACGGGCTGGTAACCCACGACCTTCTGGACGTCTGCGGCCTGCACACGCTCGGGCACAATAAAGCCTGCATCTTCCAGCCCCTCTGCCAGAAAATGCATCACACGATCGGCATGAATGTCCGAACTGGTTCCTGTTGATATGGTCACTGCATCATCCACATGAAGATAGACCGCCCCTTGGTGATCGTGTATATGTACATGCCTCCCCAAACAGATATCCTCGTTCAGAATGGAAATAGCTGGTGATGTAGCGGACCCCATTCGTGACCCATAACATGAAACCTTCTTGGCTAAGTGGCTACTTTGCGCAGAACTCGTAGGACCAATTTCGTTGTGTGCAAGATAGCGAAGCTCATGAAACACCATGTCGGCAATGGCATACGCATATTCGGAAACATACTTGCGTTGATAACGCTGACATTCGGAACTATGTTCGAGATGCCCTGGGCACCATAAACCCTCCAAGCGAAACCCCTGGGAACAATTTGTCGAAATGCATGTGGGGCTCATGTCCGCACCTCCGAAAGCGCATTGATGATGATGTGCTCGCATCGCTCCAACACGACCTTCAAACTCCAGCATTTCGGCGGTGACAAACAAACTTGGATGCGGAGCCTCACCTGGATCATCCGGATGAGCAAGGAAAAACCTTCCGCCAGCTGCACACACAGCTTCAGCCATTGCCAGAAAATTCACAAACAAAGCATTCGTTCTTCTGATCTGTGTTTGCTCTGCAGAATTGAGACCTGGACATCCCCAAAAGCGTTCCCGGCTCCGCAAGAGTCGAAGCCCTGTCACAGAATCATTGACTCTTGTATCGCTCAAAGTACCGCTCGGAGGACTGCCCCCAATCACGTCAATCAATCCTTCATGAGCCGCCACAAGAAACTTGTGCACAAGAGCTGGGTTCGTGAAATCCCACCTGCTGTCAATGGCCACATCGGCGGAGATCACCAGCAGAGTGAGGCCTTGCGCTTGCGCCATGGTTTCCAGCCAATCACAGATGTCACCATGACGTCGATCACCCATGAAGCACAACAAGACTACTAACACTCGGAATGAGGAAGATCGTGCACTCCGCAGTATCTCAATCCACTCTTCCGGCGAGCATTCGGAATCCCTGCCTGCTGCCGTCGCAAGGCACGTGGCATCAGCATCGCCGTGCGTTGGAGCCGCATGCAAATGAGCCAAACCCTCTGCCCGTTGACGGTTTGCACGGTTCACATTCAAGTGTTGTGATGCAAGCAAAGTGATTCCAATGTAGCGCAAATTGATCAACATCAGAATGTGCACCGAATGAGTACAGCCCATTGGAAGCCGCATGTACTGCGCAGAAACCAAAGTTGTTACATCAATCTGGGATCGAAAATCGTCTGGGAGGCAGTCCCACACGTGGAATGCCCGAATCGGTGGAGTAGAAAACCATGGCCATAACCACTCCGGTGTGAGGACATACGTGAAAGCATTACTTTCATCACATGCGGAGCATGCCAAGTTGTCCGAAGGAATATGGATCCTGGTGATTGCTCCGCCTCCTCCCATGCCTAATTCAGCTCTGTACCGCGGATCTTCGAACATGTAGTTGGCGGGGCAGCACATCAGCAGTTTTCGGAGTTTGGATGGGTCCTTCTTCGGCACAACGGTGAAACCTGCTACCGCGCGACAGCTCGCCCAGGGCGCCCAGCGCCACATTTGTTTAGGCAAGTCTGGCCGTTGGAAATACGACACAAATTCTTCCATGGACCCTCCAATGAAACCGTACTGCTCCGAAATCTCGCGAAAAATGATGCTGGACTTTCCTGCGGTGTCAACTACATTCGTCTCCAAAGCATAATGTTCAGCCTCTTGCGGTGGCAGAGCTTGAAGCATAGGAACTACATGGTTTGTTTTGGGCTCATCAATCGAATTGGCCACGATGGGTACTTGATTGACTCTGTTCTTCTTCATTCTGACATACCCACCATCAGCTTGTGCAAATTTTACCAGCTGCGTTGCTGCCGAAAAGGGCTCTTGAGGAGCCCCGTGGGCGCCTGTCGTGCCTAAGCACCGGCGCGCCTTAGCAAAGCGAGCAGCCTCGGAGAGAATCGTAGCTACTGCTTGCTTGACCGCTGGCCTGTGTTGATCAATCGAAGGAGTCTTGGCCAGCGATGGCGTGCGGTCTGCAAGAGGTTTGCCATCATCTAAGCCGTTCGCAACTGCAATCATTTTGACAGCAATCTTCCACACCTCCATGCGTTTTTGATGGCGGCGTCTGATGCGTGAGGAAGTGCTGTCACTCTTGACCGGTCTCGGTGGGACCGGCAACGGTGTCAACCTTTGCAGGGACGGTTGTTGATCATAGAATTGTGTCCACACATCAGCCGCCGGGAATGTGCGACAAGCTCCGTCCTCTGTTGCACTCGATATGGGCACCCATGTTCGAGTGGGCCCAGCAGGCTTGTAGGGTGCCCGATGTGGCTGCTGGGCCGGTGCCGGGAGTCAACCCGGCACATGTGGGACTTTGTCTGCTTTAGCCTTCGGGTGGCTCTTTGCGCCACCCCGGCCCTTGCCTTTTCCAGCTCCTTTGTCAGCCCCTTTCGCGCCAGGCCCCTTTTGAGCTCTTGCCCTTTCACGTCGCTTGTATTCGGCTTGACTGTAAGCCGATGCCTCGGTAACAAGCCAATGAGGGGCAATGTCAGTGCCTGACCCGGGGGGCTGCACTGCCAGAATGCGCATTGCGGCATCCGCATCGCCAGTTCTTTTCTTGTGAACGTACGCAGCAATTCGTCGGAGTGAAATCTCTAGCTGGTCATTGGTTCCCAGGGTTTCCAAAATTTCGTCATCTGAAGCTGCTTTGGCCAACGCGAAATCGATGGTGGATGCTTGTGTAAATAAATCAAGGTACTCATTGCTGTGCGCGCGAGCATCGATTGGGAAAAACTGGTTCACGTAGTCCCGCATACACCGCACGCCCGATGCCAGTACTGACCTGTATATTTCCGGCCCTGCGTACTGATGATCACTTGGAAGCTTGCTGTGCCAGCTTGAAATGTCACCAAGTCCAGCAGCTGTTGGCGTGATCCTTTGCCCTGAGAAAAACTCGACGGCTGACCCGGCAGTCGGCGCGGGAGTCCCAAGATCTTTCAACTGCTTCAACAAAGCATCCGTCCGCGGCGCAGATATCGTCGCATCTCCCACATAACCGTGAGCTTGCAGTACACGCAGCAAATCTCGATGAAGCGGCTCGTTGCTCTGCATTTGCACCACGCCTTCCCAAAACAGTCGCGGCCAATGTGGCACGCTGGACGACTGCTTTGACCATGATTCCAAAGCATTATGCACTTTGGAAGCCTGTGCTTTCAACTGCGTGTCGTCCAACAAGGGGTTCACGTAATGTTGTCGATCGGGTGAAGCTGGTTGCGGTCCCTGGCGCATGTCTGGAAGAAGAAATGCATCGCGAACTGAATGAACGATTGCTCCACCATTTAACCGCACACGAGCAGTTCCATCCGTCATGCGTTCAAGGATTTCGCCTCGCAGACCCCGCAATGAGGAAGGCACGGCATCTTCTGTGAACCGCACGGCTGCACCTTGCGGGAACTCAATCGCCAGCGTGGGTGAAAAAATCTTCGATGCCATCTCCGGATTGTTGGGCTGTGACGCTTGCTGAACTGCTGTCAACGAAAGCGGACCATCCACGTTGCTGTCTTGTGCGAACGCACGGAAAGCAGTCATCACGGCGTTGTTCTGTGACACAGGTTCCGCGTGGCTCGAAGGAAACGGCGGTGCGCCCGGCGGCGGAGGTGGCGGGATTCCTGATTCCGTCCCCTGCGCTCGCAAGTCCTCCACCATTTTTCGCAAGCGTTCATTCTCGAGCTTCAAATCAGCTGACGCAGAAGCTTCGGAAACAGGATCGTCGCTCGCCCGCATGGCTTGATGGGCCGCAGCTGGCACTGCAGGTGACGTTATCTCCAGCTGCTCATCTGTACATATCCATGCATACTCCCAGCCGAAGCGCCGCCACAAATCTGCCAAAACAAGGCAGACACTTGCACTGCCTCCGAAAGCCACCTTCGTTCGAGCGGACCATTCTCCTCCTGCGAAACAGAAAAGCACAACTGCTAGCGCCATCCATGCCATGGCACAAAAACGGCGGGAAGTCCACCACACGCCGGTTTGCATCACAACCTGACCGGAAGTCTCTGGCAAGGTTGACTGAATCACTTCGTCCCAAAGGTCTTCGTCGTCGTTGATCGCATTGCATACCTGGCCAGAGGCGGTGCCTCCAGTAGAAGACTTGTAGTATTCCCAGAGCGCAGAAGACCATTCATCTGCATCCAAGCCTAATGCTTTGCCCCCAAGGACGTCTAACAACAAGTTCTTGCCAGGAACTAACGCATTCCTCAAGTGTCGCTTCTGGTCACTCACACGGGATAGGGGAGCTCTCCCCAAGGCTTCCCGTGTTTCTGCGATTGCCGACCTGATCTGTGCATCATCACATGCTGCTTCAGCATCCAAATTTGTCAGCAATGCAACCACTTCAGTCACTGCGGCTCTGGACACCACCATGGGTGGATAGGCAGCGAACCCGGTCAAACTGCCATGGCAAACCAAGAATATGGAAACTAGTAAATCCTGACTGAAATCCTTGAGATTCCAAGTGCGGCGCCGACAACAATCGTACAATCAAGAGTTCCCCCATCCCCAGTTTGCGTCGGGACAGGTCTCTCAGCAAAAGCTACGTTGCATCGCAAAGGACAACGTAACGGGTATCTATAGGAGGTTGAGGGTTGAAGGTTTCTTGGGGTTTGGTTTCTGGGTTTAAGCGAGGCTGTTGGTGATATGTGATGAGACGGCTTGCTCCTGAGCTTATCTGCAAAGGTGCGCTATGTGGAGTCCCCTGATCGGCCGATCGACATGCCTCTTGACACTGAGGTTTGGGGTGTCTCACGCGCCCTAAACCCGAAGCCCCAAAAGTGCAGCAGGCGATTGAGAGAAGGAAAGGCCGAGATTGAACACCCTAAACCCTAAACCCTAAACCCCAAACCCTAAACCCTAAACCCTAAACCCTAAACCCTAAACCCTAAACCCTAAACCCTAAACCCTAAACCCTAAAGCACAGGTGCCGGGGCAGGACCCGGTGCGAGCAATTGCCGATGAAGGGAAGGTCATGCCGTGGTCAGTGCTAGGTAATTCCACACATTTGCTGGCAACAACTTAAAAATTCAATAGTTCATGGCTGTCTGGCGGAGGCCTGTTGCTGAGAGCATCTCTCTTCTGCATGTGTTCTTTGCGTGAATGGTTGGGACGATGGCGGGTGTGTACGAAAGTGCCTGATCCTTCTTTTGTGAGCTTGCGAAGTCGAGAGGCCTCAGCCCTGAATCCAAGCTTTGACCATGTTTAGGGTTTAGGGTTTAGGGTTTAGGGTTTAGGGTTTAGGGTTTAGGGTTTAGGGTTTAGGGTTTAGGGTTTAGGGTTTAGGGTTGGGTTTGGGGCTCAGGGTTGAGGGTTTGGGGTTTAGGGGTGAATCCCTTCAGTGAACTGCACAGCGTTGTGATCACCCCGGAACGTTGGAGCCCCAAACCCTAAGCCCAAAAACGACCAGACCATTTTATCACTTAGGGTTTAGGGTTTAGGGTTTAGGGTTTAGGGTTTAGGGTTAGGGTTTAGGTTTAGGTTTTAGGGTGGTCCTCGCCTCAGGCTTCTTGACGCACACCACATGCGCGTGCAAGCGATCCGACGCTATGCTTACGGGCCGTGACCTGCCCCTTCTGGAGGGCTTGGGGCTTGGGGTTTGGGGTTTGGGGCTTTAGGGTTTAGGGCTTAGGAAGGTTTAGGGTTGAGGAAGGTTGGGGTTTAGGGCTTGGGACGGTTTGGGGTTGAGGAAGGTTAGGGTTTAGGGTTCAGGGTTTAAGGTTTAGGGTTTAGGGTTTGGGTTTAGGGTTTAGGGTTTATGGTCTAGGGTTTAGGGTATTGGGTTTGGAGTATGCCGGCCGATAAACGAACTCTTCTGCGTGCCTGCTAAACTTGCCTGCCATAGTCCTAACTCCAAGAGAAAGGTACCCGAAAGGGGTTTAGGGTCTAGGGTAAGGTGTTCGGCAGGGTTTGGGTTTTGGGGTTCAGGCTCTGGGCCAAAGGTTTGGAGGTGTAGGGGCGGGGGGGGGGGGAGGAGGATGGGGGGCTCAAGATCTAATCCCATCCCTTCGCTTAGTGGCTCTTTCTCTGGGTTTTTTGGCGTTAGGTCGAGGATCCTTCAAGCAAGGTCATGTCGGGGACTGTACAGGGATAACGAGGCACCTACTTCCGTTATCTCCTAGGGTATATATAGGAAGCTACTAGGGAAGCACCTAACTCGAACCCCTAAACCCTCAACCCTAAACCCGAAACCCGAAACCCTAAACCGCAGCAGGTACATCGTGACGGATGCGGCTCAGCTGATTGAGGGAATTGAAGGTTTCACGACTACAAGCTACTGACGTGAAGAGCCCTTTAACCCTGAACCAGCTGTGGTGCAGGTGAAGAGTCGTTATCCCAAACCCTGGCATACCCGAGGCCCAGGTTACGTCACAGGCTCGTGCTGGAATGCGTACAAGGCATCTGCAAATTTGGAGGTGCAAAGCTTGGGCTACGCAGGTGGCAAACCGCAAACCTCGGCCTCAACCCTGGTGAGCCCCACAAGTACAAAATTCAGTCTTCAACCAAAAAGGGCACCCTTTTTGTTCCTAGGTTCCTCTTGGGCCTAGATGGCCTGAAGCGCGAAACCCTGGACCTTAATCAGAACTTAGCCACAAACCTTCGGCTGCTGGCCATCCTCCTGGGTGTCTGGGTTCCGGGGTTTAGGGTTTAGGGTTTAGGGTTCTCCTCAATCCCCTCACTTTCAGGTGCCGGAGGACCGCGTGGTGCGCGTTCCGATCCACAAGAGTATCCGGTGCGGCGTGCCAGATGCTGTGGGTTTCCTGTGCCCAGAGATCCCTAAACCCTAAACCCTAAACCCTAAACCCTAAACCCTAAACCCTAAACCCTAAACCCTAAACCCTAAACCCTAAACCCTAAACCCTAAACCCTAAACCCTAAACCCTAAACCCTAAACCCGAATTCCTAAACCCTAAACCCTAAACCCTAAACCCTAAACCCTAACCCTTAAAGATCTCTTGACAGGCATTTGATTCCGGTGGCTGACGTGCGCCAGGCCCTGGTGCCCGTGCGGGGCAACCTTCTTGAGGCGCATGTTTGAAGATTTCAGCTGAGGGCCTGCTTTGACAGCCCAGATGGAAAAAAAGGGTTTAGGGTTTAGGGTTTAGGGTTTAGGGTTTAGGGTACCCTTATAAGGAAGGACATTTTTAAGTTTTTTGGGAGTTTCTTCAGCAAATAGTACTGTAGGGTTTAGGATTCAGGGCTTCAAAGTTTCAGGCATAGGGCTGGGGCACGCAGACGGGGGAGAGGGGGCGCAACGGGACAAAGACACCCTAAACCCTATAAACCCTTAAACCCCGTTAAAACCTTTAAACCCTATGAACCCTACAAACGCCAAAACCCTAGAAACCCTAGAAACCCGGAAAAACCCTGTAATCCCTTTCAACCCCCTAAACCCCAACCCTACATAAACCCTATAAACCCGCAACCTTCTAAGCCCTCAACCCTAAGCGGAGAGATAACCCTAAACCCTAAACCCTAAACCCTAAACCCTAAACCCTAAACCCTAAACCCTAAACCCTAAACCCTAAACCCTAAACCCTATGGCGCCTGTGTCCATCCTTCAGCTCTATGAGGATGGAGCCAGAGTAGGCCCTTATTTCCTTCTTTTAGGGTTAAGGTTCCCTTACTAGGGTTTGGGGTTTAGGGTTTAGGGTTTAGGGTTTAGGGTTTAGGGTTTAGGGCCCCTTAAAAAGGGCACCCTTTTTAATCCTAGGTTAATCCTGGGTCTAGATGAGTCTGAGGATGGAGCCTTACGTCAACCCCAGCTGGTGCAATCCGCCGTGGTGCGGGAAGGCCAGCATTTGGGGCTCAGGGTTTTAGGCTGTACGATTTGGGGTTCACAGCCCTGAATAGGGACTATAAGAGGGCGGGGGAGTACTATAATCCCCCCAAAAAGGACTGTTAGTATAAGGGGGAACATCGTAAGGTCAGCTGCCAAAAAAGGGGTTTTACGTGCCTTGTCTGCAGGACGGCTCTCTTTATGTCGGGTTCCGTTGTTGTGCTGCTGTTTCGTTCTGCTGTCCTGTGCCACTAAGCTACATGCGAGTGCAATCGCCAGCCGTTTTTTTCTTCTTAGTTGCATATAGTAGGTTTCGTTGTGTTGGTCGTATGTTTGTGGTGTGTTCAGCAAAATGACGCCACTGCGCTCCACATGCAGTTGTCGCACCACGTAGAGTGTGACGAAATGGCATGTGAGGCATCTGCAGGCTTATGTAGGGTAGCACTAGGGGCGAGACACAGCATCCGACGGAACCCTAAAACCCTAACCCTGGGATGCTAGAAGTAAGGGCCCGGCTCAGATTCACGGGCACAGGCTCCAGCATGGCCCCCCCCTGGATCCTTCTCCACCCCCGAAGCCCTGAAAGCCTCCCTCAACCCTCCACCCCTCAACCCTCCACCCTGAACCCCTCAACCCAGTACTGTGCATGGTCACACAGCATACTCAAGCCCAATAAGGAACAAAAAACTTGCTTTTTAAAAGTCACCCCGCCCCCCTTTGGTGCAGTTTTGTTAATTTCAATTCACCCTAAACCCTAAACCCTACACCCTAAACCCTAAACCCTAAACCATGTGGGGCAGAAGCTGGGGACGTTAGTCGCAGGCTCCTTTATGAACTTGTGCAGTGCCTTGGTCCTTGAGCCTCCTTGCCTCCGGTATTTTCAAACTTCAACTCTTGGGGTTTAGGGTTTAGGGTTTAAGGGTTTAGGGGTTTTGGGTTTAGGGGTTTAGGGTTT